TATAATTTCCATTGCCATCCTTCTCGCTCACTAAATTATAAAAATATTATTCATATATTTATATAATTATTTGAAAAAATATATTAAATAGTCCCATCAATTCACGTGTCGTAGGTCGAAAATCGAGTCGATGTGATCTCCGATTCTAATATCTATGTTGTGATCTCAGTGATCATCTCACCAATCACGATGAAATGTTACCCATCACGTTCATAGCATGTGCATAAAAACCTTCCTACCCAATCCAATGGTCAGCCATGTGAAATCGGGTGGTGCAATGCCAGCACTTCAACGGACAGGATTCATTCGTAGTCCATTATAACTGGTGCCTGTTCGATAGGGTTTTCGGGTCAGCGGCGCGCCGATCGGGAAGCGTGGTATGGAGCTCCGTCTCCTCGTCTCCCTCTCGTCGTCCTGAAAACCCTAGTCTTTGTTGGTTCCCTTGCGATTGCCTGATATTTTTCTCTTTTTTAAATTTATCTTTCGGCTTCATGGATCCCTTTTTGCCTCGTTCAGTCGTCCGATTGACTTCGAAAAGCGGCGATTTTTGATTGAAAATGGTGATATAGGGTCATATGTTGCTGTTTTTTCTTAGAAATACGATCATCTACTTTGGAAATGTTAGCCTGTGATGAGATCCGCGGTCTCAGACATGGGATTGGCTATCTAAAACCTAACAAAAGCTCGTACTCCGCTCCTAAGAAATCCTGAATTTTTTTGCGCAAAGTGGATCGAGTGAGTTATGCTTGTAGAAACTAATCTATCGAGCAGCTCCGAACTACGTTACTTTGATTCTTGCTCCTGTTTGTTAATAGCTTCTCTTGTTGATCTCTTTTTCTCTTTCATCTTCCCATAAAATTGTTCACGTTTGAAAATGCATTTTATAGTCAAGTTCTGCATTTGCTCATAAAGATACGTTTCCATTTACCGTATGGTTTTTTATGATTGATTGCTTAACTAGGAATTCAAGATATCTTAAATTCTCTTTATTCTGACTTGCAGTACTTTACTGACCTTAGTGTATTCTGTTTCGATAGGTTGGAGTTTGTTTACTAGGACACCTGTTCAGCAATCCTAGATGGCTCCACCCGCAAAAGGTACTTTGTCTGAATCCAATTTATCTTCAATATAATTTTTAGCTACTTCATATTTGGCTGATTTTATGGTTTAATGTGAATTTAACATGATGTGGAAATTGACATGGAGACTTCATTGACATGTTTGCTTGTAAATATTATCATGTAAATATCATCAATATTTGGCTATTTATGGGCAACCTGGGCTAGCATGGCATAATTGTTGCACTTCATGGAGATGATCTATTTGAGAAGTTGGGGTCAAATAGTTTAATCCCTCATTTCAAGTCAGATGGAGTTTTTTTTCCTAATTAGCTCATCGGCACTGTGTTGTTTAAATGTTTATTCACAAAGCTAGAATCCTCCAATCCTGTATGGATTCATCCTTCCATTCTTGTGGATCCATTTTTTCTCGCATCTTGACCTTCCATTTATTGAGATGTTACACCACGGTGCATCCTGTACTAGCAAGCGGGCCCAAGATACTAGACTGGTAAGACAGATCTTTGTGATGGGCGAGAATTTGACCCTCGATTTCTCTGTACATATTAAAGAGGAACACAACGCTTCTCTATTGTTGTGATGATTATGCTTGCAGCTATTTGTAAAGTAGCTTTAAGTTTGCTGATGATTCGTTGTCTTTTAGAGCTGTATTTAGCTCCATGTTTGTGTATTATTATTATCTGTCCTTGTAGGATAACCTGTGAACCATAGCATTCAAGTAGTTCTCCATTTCCCCACTTCTCCAGGAATTGACATTGATGACCTATGTCTAACCCAATTTATCGCATTTTTGGTTAAACATGAGGATAAATATTGAGTTGCGACTTGTGATTGTTGTTTTGGATTATATTGGCTGTGCCTTGAGAGAAAAATGTGGTGGATATTTGTTCATTCTGTGGTACTGTCTTGGAATTAATACCTTGTGTGAGGGATTAACTTTGTAATCTTAAATAGTTGGGTTTTTTGGGGCACTGTTAGTAATTGGTTTGCTTTACATAATTGGAGTTCTTGTGGGAGATAAATGCTCAAAACTCTAATGGAAGTATATATTTTTGTTTCAATTGAATATATGAAAAATCAAATTGTTGCTTTAAAAAGTTCTGCTTTAATTAACCATTTATACATGAATTAAAAAGGTCATCTTGATGCAAGGATCTTTTTTTTTTACTTTTTTTTTGTTTTGAATTAAAACTAAGTTATGAAGGTTCTAGCTAATTATAGGCATATATAATGTACAAGAAGTTTTATCACTGATATTCATGTCAAAATTGACTCTGGTTTTGTGGTACCAACTTTGATTTTAAGAACAAGGAAAGAAATTAGATAAACAATCAATGGAGTAGCATCTTGATATGTTGTTCTTGTTACTTCGAGCCAAGTTAGAAGTGTTCTCACTCTAGGCTTTTATCTAACTTCTTACATTCTTCTTAGCAGCTACCTCCAAGAAGGCCGATGACAAGACACAGGCTCTGAAGGTTGCGAAGGCTGTGAAGTCCGGATCTACCTTGAAGAAGAAGGCCAAGAAGATTAGGACGTCTGTTACTTTTCACAGGCCAAAGACTCTGACAAGGGACAGAAATCCGAAGTACCCTAGAATTAGTGCTCCACCAAGAAACAAGTTGGATCAGTATCAAATCCTCAAGTATCCCCTGACCACTGAATCTGCAATGAAGAAGATTGAAGACAACAACACACTAGTCTTCATTGTTGACATTAGAGCCGACAAGAAGAAGATCAAAGCAGCTGTGAAAAAGATGTACGACATTCAGGCCAAGAAGGTGAATACCCTGATCAGGTGAGTTGGTTTTCTTTATTAACTGCTACATGTTGATCGTTTGGTCCAACTGTTAATGATTTGTGCCTGATCTGGAACAGACCTGATGGTACTAAGAAGGCTTACGTGAGACTGACTCCGGACTATGATGCGCTTGATGTTGCAAACAAAATCGGCATCATCTAAGCTCGGACAAATTCATAGCTATCCAAATGATTCTGACTTGAGGGTCTATTTGGGATCTCAAGAAATTTACAGCACTATGGAAGCCGATGTCTATGATGTGACTTCCGAAACGTCATTCTTATTTTCAAAATGGAGTTTTATTCTGTCTTTGACATTTTTTTAGGTTTTTGTTGTGTTACTTTAAAGACTATTATGCAAGTTTGCCGACTTAGTTGGCTCGATAGCTTTAATCAGTGATTGAATTTACCCATTGAGCATCGATAAAATATTTTTCATCTTCCATGCTGAAATAGAATTTTCTCCAGTGATCCTCAGAAGTTTCAGTCCTCGGTTTTCTTTCCCCCTATTTCAAATATACTGTAACTACGTATTTTCCCTAGTTATCTATTTGAAATATTCCTCTTCCATGCAATATAACATGTGGTTCCCTGCAACTGGGCAATTCCACAAAACTGAACTGTTATTTCTCTAGCTTTATCTGTCACAGGCCTAAAGAAGATTAATATACAGTCAAGATTGATGCACAAAGTTTCTCTCAGGCAATTACATTGTTTTTTTAGCCATGAGTTTGCATCTGCCAACATTTCCGCGTCTACATGCGGAATATATACTTCTTACCCACGCATCACAATATCGATCATCTACTGCCAACACTACAGCATCTCGATACCACGATGGCACAGGACAAGCTACCATGAAACCATAGAAGTAAAACCATACCGGCATATACCGACTCTGGCACAGTCTTTTTATCAGGAGCTACCAGATGCCAAGAATAATACACACTTGGTTTCCTCTTTCAACCAGCAACATGTTCAAAAGATGTCGACCATTATTGCCAATCTGGATCCTGGCGTAACCACAAGCTTTCTGATGAATGCCTCAACAGTGGAATCGATTTCCAAAATCGGTGAGGTCAGCACGGTGCTGCCTCTTGTCGTTGCTCAGCTCTGTTGTTGATCTTGATCTCCAGTAGCCGCTCCACCGGCTGCCTGCATATCGGGCATCGATTCGTCTGGAACCTAAGAACCTTTGCACATTCGCTGCACATGCACTGCAAAGCCAGAAAGGAGAATCTTGTTTACTCTTGGCAAGCCAAACTTTAAAGAGGCCGACACTGTGCTAATATTACAACCTGATTTGATGACAAAATCTAAAATGAAGCTTTGAGGAGTTGTCGAATGAAAAGAAAAACAATAGAACCCTGGATAAGATATTTTTACATCTAAGATACAATTATTTCTCATATGAATTTTTCTTGTTAATTCCACAAAATGAATAAAATAATATTAAGCATTTTTAATGCTCAGACTGAATATGTTGGAATCTCAGCCTAGAGCCTTGAACAGAACCTTTTGAGTTCTGCCAGAGCACAATGGAGTGATGGCTCGACAAAGAAGTTAGAAGCTTGATAGCTCTTTACATACTAGCAAAGGTACAGCAAGAATCTAAGAATCCTGTGATGGCTTGGTCACAAGTAGAAGCACTAAAAATCTTCTGACATCATGACAAAGGCACTACTAGCGTAATTCTATGAAGGGCCCAAAAGCTCCATTAGCAGTTAACACTCAGTCGGAGAATAGTTTTGCTGACCCTTGGTAGCATCCCGATGGCAAAAGCACTATTTGTGTTTAATACTCTGTGAAAGATTTGTTGGACGCTAGAGGAGGCTTGCCAGAGTTACTAAAGCCCATATCTATGAAAATTTTAATTGCTGTCTATATAAATTTAGAGAAATTTTGGGAAATATTTCATCGTATCTGAGACCCAACAACTTTTTTAAAGATGGTTATAAACCAACAATTTTGACCAAGAGCTTTGCAAAGCTTTTGACAATCTTAATAGGCTATATTGAGCTACTTGCATCCTTTTTGAGCTTATGCTTATCCGTCATTTTCTTCTGGCGCTCACTCCAAGTGAGAAAGAAAAGATTCCCTGCATCATTTGAATGCTTTCCTCCTTGCAACTCCTTTTACACTACTGTTTTCTCTCTTGTTTAAGTATGTATTTTGTTGACTGATTCAAAACGCTTCCTATCAAAGTATGGATCTAGTCTGTAAGGTTTATTTAGGATAGTTTACCTTTTATTGATTTTATGGATATTACTTTCCTGATTTTGAGGAGTTTAGATTCATAGTTTTGAGAACAGCTTTCCTGATTTTGTTTAAGTCAGTGTAAATGTGTACTCTATAAATTTTGTAAGTTCCTTAGAATCAATGGTAGAAGAAGAATTCCTTTTTAAACATCTCAAAAGAAGCCTATTATGAATTTTAGAGAGGCTTTGGTCATAGTAGCATTTGTGTAAGTAGTTTGGTTTTTGCCGGCAAAGAAGATCATAATATTCAAAGTAGTATAATATTCAAAAACAAACATAGCTCATACATGTTTAACTGGACCATGATAAACTTGTCTGCCTCCTCACTCATATGTTCTTCTCATATTTATTATGATTTTCAACTAGCACAACCATGACTCTTGCTTGGCTTTGGGTTTTTTATGTTGATTATAGGTTCGTGGTTTTTCATTTGACAACCTAGGTCCCCCTCATAGGCCTAAATCCTATCAATGATAAAGAAAATAACAGCCAACTTCCATTGGCTACATATAACTGATAAATCCATATGACTTTTTTAAGTTTTGAATCAACAAGCAAAAAAGATTATTTCTAAAATTCTTCGACAAAGCTTCAATGTAGTGTGAATTCACAAAGAAATACTCTTTGACTTGAGCTAATTAAACTACAATTCCAATGAACTATAGATAAATAATCTAAAAACAACTTTTTGGTTTCACTTTATGACTTGATTCATGTTTGAATCTTAGTAGACGGCTAAAATTATGATTACATATGAATTTAAGCTCATTTTAAAGTCTCAAAGTGCAACACTTCTATTTAGTCCCATATTAGATGTGAGAGGCAAATCTAATTGTAGAAGGGCTAGATGAGTAAACGCTATGACTTGGGAAGCATTTTAGGTCATATGGTTCTAGAACTAAAAAACTAATGAGTCAATTATCCCATTGGATTGGATCATGACGATTAACATCAAAGCATACCTAATACAAGGCATGTAAGGGGTCCAAGTAAGGAAGAGCAGCGCAACCTGTGAATGAGGTCGGAGGTATAACATTATGTGAAGCCATCATTTGGTTGAGCCTCATGTGCCACCAACTAGAAATGATTTGAAGTCATGTATTGGACCTTGCACTTCCATGAGGGTATCAATGCCTAAGTGGAGAGATTCTGACATTTGATTTAGTTCCGTATCAGAAGTGCGATGGATTTGATTGTATAAGGACTCGACGAGACTATAATTATAAACTTGGACTTAAGCATTGGTCCTAGTCCTATCACTTGTGTGGTGACAATAAACCAAGGAATTCTTTCGATATGGGATACTACATAACATAAATAACAATCAACTTAAATCCTAAAAAGTCAAATTAATCACGAGGCTAAATGATTGCAAACGATTGTTCAATCAAAACAAAACTACCAGTTTAGCCAACTTTAAATAATTTAAAACTTTGGAGAAGACAATAAACTCTAAATTATGCCCAAGCAATACACATGAGAATTGAATTTTATTATAAAATTCTAATTAACTTCCATATCAAAGCATCCCATAGAACATAATTATTTCAAAAGAAGTTACTCAAAAGTTTCTGTAACAATGGGTTTTATAAGTGTAGAAAGCATATAATAGTCTCAACGAAATCAAAATTACATTATCCAAAGCTTTCCTCTCCAACATGCAAATCTATCAAGTTATCTTCATATTTTTGTCAGGCAATTATTTCTTTTGGAAATTAGCAGAGGTGAATAGCTGAACTGTAAACAATAGAAAAACAAAATATTAAGAAACAAATAACTTAACATACCATGTGTCTGCATGGGAGGACAGTGGTATCATGTGGTTCAGAAAGACAAATCACGCATTCTTTTCCTGCATCATTCCCATCAGTATCATTGTCAACTGAGTTCTCGATGCCATAGATTTCCTGCAGCTCATATCTGATTTGATTCACATACAAGATCTGCTTCATCACACGAACATGATACTCACCATTCTCTTTCTTCTCAAACATAGCCTGTGTAATTTGCAAGTGCGGAGTTCCTAATTTCTGGTTCTCACGTTCTGGTCCTTGATTGTTGGATGGAGAAGCTTCTGCTTTTACAGCAAGAGGATATATATCAAGTTCCCGCTCTTTCACCAACTCGGCCTTGTTAAAAATTGAGAAATCAATTCCTGTCCCAGACGGTTGCCTGAACTTCTGACCCAAACCTTCCTTAAAGGACACTGTGACTGGTTTAAGCAAGTCCTCCTTTGTTGCAGTAAGGTTACAGTCCATATCTTCTTTTGCAAAGAAGAAAATAGTAATGCTGTTTACAGTATGTACAAAAGCATAGAATTCAGACATAAATACCATTGCATATTATAAGCGGTTGCATGTGGAAGTACATGCTGAAGTAGAAAGAGGTTATGTACTAAATGTAGCATGATAGTAGATCACAATCTGTGGGTAATCTGATCCCATCTTCTGGACTGGGATTGGCAGGGTCAGATTCTAAAACCCCTATTGGGTTTCTGCTGAATGGTTGAAGAAAATTTATTTATATGAATTTTGTAACATATACTGAAACTAGTGATATAAAGCACAAGCACATAGGTAGATATTCAATGGCCCAAACATTTTCGTTCTATGCTTTTAGTAATAGATAAAATTCTAGTTCAGAAGCTAACTTCTAACTGTAAGAAAACTAGGTCACCATATTATATCAAAGAAACTATAAAGTCAACAAGAAAACAAAGACGACTCGGAGTCTATATCCTACCAATAGTGTTATGTTTAGATTCCATAAAATGTGAAAGCTATGTACAAACAATATTTGGATTTATAACAGTAAGGATTCATGTTGCAATATCATAAAATTGGGGTGTATAGCCTTTAGATCTTTATATTCTACCAAGTACAAAGGAAATTGACTGACCCTGCAAATTTTGCAATATCAACTCAATCAGCCACCTATTGTTTGTGTAAAAAACTGCAGAGATGTGATGTACATAATGTTTCCATATGAATAAAATCCTCAAGATTGAAGTTCAGTCTTATTGTTTTAGCACATTAAAATTACAGTTTTTCATATTTGGATATCTCACCTTTGTTATAATAAAAATATCATGATCGAAGCAGGTATACTAGTCCTACACCCAATTTTGAATAGTCGGTGCAAAGAGTCATCTTCAGCATTCATTTCATTCCAAAGCAGAACTACCCATATTAGACTCAAGTCAAGCTCTCTTATCAACCATTCCTGAATCAACAACGATCAAACTGTACTGAACCAACAAAAAACGTTGGTTCTCAGTGATTGCACCATCCTAATCTCAGCACTCACCCTTTGTGATAAAAGCCCCTCTCTTCTTTATCCTCTGCAAGAGTCTATCAGCTAATATTCAAGTATATTACACTTGTGTTCCTTCAGATAATCTCATTTGACTGTTCAAAGACTTGGATAAATCTTCTTGAGGTTAATTTTGTGATGAATTTACTGGGATTTCAGTGTTTCCCAATTGTTACCTCATCCTTTTATTTTGTTTTTCTTTTCCCCTGCTTTTAGCATGTCCATTTCTGCTAAATATTCTAAATATGTTGGTTGAAATACCAGACTGGCTTTTGCTAAATCTTCTATATAGTAGGAAAAGAAATAATATGCCATATTCCTATCAAGTATACGAACATGTTAATATTGCTTCACATTCAGAACAATTGAGATGTGGGATGCCACCGATTATATCAATCTCTCCTACAACTAGGTAATACAGAACATTGTTAGTACCTTAAGCAGGCCTCTTAATTTTTAGGTGTGTTTTTGGATGCTCTGAAATATCTGCAAGTATTAACTTCCAGTGATCCTAGATGCCGATTTCCAAAGTTAGTTCTCCACATATCTGTTAAGCAAGTTAGAACTGCATACATCCACTAATGAATGTGAGACCGCAAGTTTGCATGCTTAATATAAAGCAAAAGGGAAGACAATCTAACCTATATCAACTTATACAACTTAAAAATTGTTGCTTATGAAAAAACAAGTCAATTGCCAGAAACTCTAGAAGACTGTGCTTATGATCACAAAAAGGCATGTTCATCTAGTTTTGGATCTGCAGTCATATTTGATAGATGAAGGAATAATCTAGCATCGCCTAACAACAATCATAACAACAACAACAAACAAATTCTAGGAAAAATTACAATTAATTTTCTCTCCATACTAAGTATTATTTGTCATATTAATATATACCATGGAAAAAAAGTCAGCAAAAGTTCCAGAGCAAAGTCAGAACTTTGACATCACATGAAGACAACAGCACTAAACATGTACATGTATGAGCAATTATTTCCCATAGAAAACAGGAAGGAAGCAAAAGAGGTCACCTTCCTGCGACGGTGGCATCGAAGGTGAAAGCCACGAGGAAACGACCTGTATTGTGGTCGTCAGGCTCAACCCTGAGGGTCTCCTTCTTCACATTGACGTCGTTCCTGATGGTGACGGCCTTGTGGTGATCGACGTACGGAGGAGCAGGGGGCGGGGCGCCATACGGCGAATACCTCCCGCCACCCGCCCACCCCGGGTGGTGGACCGGGTACTCTACGTGGGGCGCGCTGCCGCTGCCACCGTGTTGATGGTCGAACGCCGCCGGGAGAGGCACCGGCATCGTCGGTGGTGGAGGCGGGTAGTACCCGTACTGGTAGTACTGAGAGGGGTTCGGGTTGGGGTACTGCGGCGGGTAAGCGGTGGCCGCCCCGAACACGTAGCGGTTGGCGGTCACCTCCGGCGGCTGTAGCGCGGGGAGCAGAGCAGGTGCGGGGCCGAAGGGAAGCGGGTGGTGATGGTGATGGTGGTGGCGGTGGTGAAGGCTGGAGTTCCTCCGCCGACCACTTCCAATGCCGGAACCGCCGCCGTTGCCGCTGCTCCCGGTGTTTCCCATTCGACAAGGAAATTCCAACCGGAATCAGCTTTTCCCCTCGAGAAATTTGGAGGGCTTGTGGGCATCGAAGACAGGCACGTTAAAATCACATAAAGATCGGATCTTGCGCGCGATTTCGACGCCAATTTGGGGGGATTTCCCGCGACCCAAAGGAGAACGAAGGAAGGTAGGGGGCCTCCTTTTAGGAAACACAACATGAAGGAAGACATGGTGAAGTTGCAAACCGATTCCAACAACTGTGCGTATTTGCAAAAACGCCCCTTCTTTTACGGCTTTTCTGTCGTTTTCTCTTCGTTATTACGAAGGCTTTTTTCTTTTCCATCCCTAAAAAGATTGAGATTTCTCGACAGCTCCCTATGGTCGGAGGTGGGGTCTACCTCCACTTGTTAGATTCCCGCGATGAGTATTATTGGGGCGTAGCATTTGGTGGTGGATTTGCATGAAGCTCCGTTTTGCTTGCCGTCGTTGCTTTAATCACATTTTCTTATGACATAATAATGTGTCAATAGGATAATTAGCTTTTAATAAGCTTTTTATCCTCAGCTTAATTTAATCTTAACTATAAAATTAAATTAAGTAAAAATCTGATTATCTAAATCGAATATAGAGTTAAAAGACAATCGAATCCTATTCTATATCTATTTTATAAATTATACCGGGGTGCACTCAATAAAACTCTCCGATAGATCATGATATCAATAAATCATTTAGAATAACAAATCAAAAATATTTGTAGAACGAGTGTGTTTATGAAGATACTTAAAATGATTTTTTATAATGTGACATTTAAAACATTATATGATGTCAAAAATAATTTTATATATTCCGTAAAGTTATGTTGTGTCGAATATAAGGAACATGCGAGAAAATGATATAGGCGGATAACATTCGGAGATCGTGATCATGTTAATCATACTCGATTGATTTGACATCAAAGTATCACAATGTGTTGATTGAAGTGCTATGAACTCAAAATGTTAAGAAACAAAATAACCTTTTCTCTATAATAAAATATGTTATTATATACGATTTTATTTCTTATGTGAAGGCTTTTGTGGTCTATTGTTATTCTTTAAGGATAAAAATTAATGTGGGAGTATGTGTCTAAATTTATTTTTTAATAGATTAATATGCTTCAAAAACTATTAGAACTAAATAAGCTAAAGACAAATTTCCTTAATCAAATTTTCTAATATAAACTCTTCTTCCCATTAGAGGTAAAAACATTAACCCCAAAACTTTGTTTTGGGGGTGTGAACAATAGTTTTCTTCTATTCAAGTCTATAATAATACACTCCCGAATCTTTCATTACATTCTCTCAATCATTTTATCATATATTCGAAGAATTATTCTAATATTTATATTATTGCTGATAGCCATAAGCTTCACAAAATCCTATTACTCAATCGAAACATAATTATAACCAAAATAAAACTACTCATTAGAAAACATCCATATCAAATGAAGCATCTTAAACCTGCAAAAAAAAAAAATTCATGAAAAACATGAGAAATGTAAAAACCTAAAAATTTCTCGTATAGTAAGTACTTCATGATATTCCATTACTAAAACATAGTTACGTAGTTGTTATCTATGTACATGGAA